GTGTCCCTGGGCGCGCCCCGTCGCGGCGCTCCCCGCGCGCCGCCATGGCGCAGCCCGGCCGCGCCGTCACCGTGAGCGACGTGCAGCAGCTGGTGCGCAGGAAGGACGAGATCGAGGCGCAGATCAAGGCCTACTACGAGGTCCTGGAGGACGTGAGTGCCGGGCGGCGGCGGTGGCGGCGCCTTGCGGAGGGCCCCGGCAACCCCGCCTCGGCAACCCCCTGACGGCCTCTTTTCCCCGCAGCAAAAGGGCGTCGGGATGAACGAGCCGCTCGTGGACGTGGAGGGGTTTCCGCGCGCCGACATCGACCTCTACCAAGTGCGGACAGCCCGGCACAACATCATCTGTGAGCGCAGCCGCGGGCGCCCGCCAGGGGCTGGTTAAGGAGCGCAAACAGCCCCTTGAGCTGTTGGTTTATTGCAATTTTTTCGTTCAGCTAGAAAACCCGAAAGGCAGGGCTGGTCTGGCTCTATTTCAGCGTGTTTTGTTCTCGTCTCACAGCTGGCAGGGGGGACTCGGGCACTGAAGTGCTCCTGGCCTTGTGCTGCTGCAGAGTTGTCGAATTTTGTTTCTGCAGCTGCTGTGGAGCTGTTTGGGATTCGTGAAATGCAATGAGGCGTTTTTGGGGGGTTTGTTTTAAAATAAGCTTTGGGTAAGAAAAAAAAAAAAGGCATTTATTTCTGCTGAAGCTTGCCTTGTGCCCCATATGTGGCATGCCTATTGCTCTGGGTGTTTAAGATTTGATGGGGGGGAAAAAGAAAGGCTTAATTTCTTTTCCTGAAAAACGTGGAGCCTCTGTGCCCTTACTGTTTCCTTGTGTTTTTAGTAGAGTTTGTAGGGTGGTTTCTCTGCACCTAAGTTGTATCAATAGCCTTGATGGTGTGAGCAGAGCTGTCACCAGCACCCAGTAGATGATGGGGCAGGAAGTTACAGCTAGTCCCAGCTGAGATCCAAGGGATGCAGGATACTGTTTCCAGCCCAGATCTCAGCAGTGGGGGAAGATGTGTCTGCCAAGGAAGAACCCCGAGAGGGAGCTTGTTCCTGTTATCTCTGTGCTAACCGTCTTCACCTGCAGGTCTGCAGAACGACCACAAGGCCCTGATGAAGCAGGTGGAGGAAGCCCTTCACCAGCTGCACGCCCGGGAGAAGGAGAAGCAGGCCAAGGATGAGGCTGAAGCCTTGGCTGAGGCCAGGAGCCAGGAGCAGGGCCTGCCACGGGCTTTTGCCAGGGTTAACGAGGTCACACCAGGCTCTCCTGCGAGTCTCTCGGTAAGCTGTGTGCTCTGACAGCTGATGGGGGCTTCTTTGGGATCCAGGGTCACATTGGGATGTCCCCACGCAGCTCATGTACGAGGTCTTGTTACCGTCTATTTAGTTCTAGCCTCAACATTCCCCCATCCATAAAGGCACAAAGGAACGAGCCCCTGCTTCTTTCCCAGAACATAAAGAGGATTTAATGTAGTTCAGTTGCCTGAATGGTGAGATGAGCAGAGCCTTTGCCTCAGTCTCTCCATGCGGCTACGTGAAGGGTGCTCCTGTGAACAGGAGGTGTTGCCTGTCTTTGCAGAATGCAGATAGTCATCTACCTTCTCTCACTGTGCAGGGGCTCCAGGTCGACGATGAGATTGTGGAGTTTGGCTCTGTCAACGCACACAACTTCCAGAACCTGCAGAACATCGCCACAGTGGTGCAGCACAGCGAAGGGGTGAGCTCGTTTCTGCTGTACCTGTGTTCTCTTGACTGTCTTTATTAGCTGCAGGTTTTTCAATGGAATTTAGATCTCAGAGTCAGCCCTGCCCTGTCAGAAATAATGTCAAATTCAGACTGTGCTGTTCCAGCCTTGTTCTACCACAGTACTGAGATCATTTCTACCTAGAGAGCTGGACAGAGAGAGCACTAAGAGGTGCCTGATCTTTGTTGTGGATAACATCCATACGCCTCCCCTGGGAGACTCCCTGCAGCAGTAGGAGCTTATTGCCCACATGGCCTCGTGGACTGGCCAAAGGAGCAGCCGCAGCCATCGAGCACCGTGGAGGGGAAGGGAGACCCTGCAGAGCTGTCCCCACCGCGCGCTCCCTGCTTTCAGATCGAGCTGTGCTAGGGCCATGTGTTCTTCCTCTGGTGCTTCAGCAAAGGAATGGAGAAGAGGGATAACTTGGTAAAGGAAAGCTGTCATCTCCTTGTTTTTCTTGCTTTTATTTTTCTTTTCCTCTCTCAGAGACCCCTGAGCGTGACTGTGATCCGCAGCGGCAAAAAAGTGCACGTGGGGCTGACACCAAAGCGCTGGGCCGGGAAGGGCCTCCTGGGGTAGGCTGCTGTTTTGCTTAGCATGGGTGCAGTTTTTTATCCAGCTTGGAGCAAATTCCTGCAGCAGGGCCAGCTCCAGGCTTTGGTCCTTGTGTTGCTGCATGCCCTGATGTGCTTCAGGGGCAGGTGCTTGCTGAGACCTGGAGTCTGTCAGTTCATCACGGTGATGAGAGTTGATGGGTTGCATCAAATGGGAGTATGGGGGAAACATCTCAGTAGCCACTGGTAAAGCAATCCAGGGGAAGAGGGAGGTGGAGGGTCTGGTTCGTGTTGTGTTAGATATTCCATGTGTTTTGGGGAGCTGATACATTAATATTTCTTTCTACACTCTTTTCCAGCTGCAATATCATTCCCTTGCAACGATGACTCTTGCTTGGAAAACAGTAAAGTTGAAGCTTGTGCCTGCTTTCTGGGCTGTGATCTGATTGGAAAACTTCCCTTACAGTCTTCGTGTGTTTTGCTGGGACAGATATTTCAGAGGCTGTGACCTCCAGGTGCCAAACTGCCAAGTGTGAAGCAGTGCTCACAGAGCAGGGCCTGGCCCCCATCAGACCTGCGCTGTTTTGTAAGGAGGAGCATGTTGAGCAGGATATGTCTCCTCGTCACTTACACCTTGTATGAATTCCCCATCAGGCTGCAAAGATATGCACAACTCTTCAGTTAATGAAGATACAGTTTCTAAAAAAAAAAAAAGCAAAAAATGCTCTGATTTGCTGGTAACAAAGCATTCTTTCCTCCCCCTTCTCACTGAACATCTTGCAAAAGATGCCAAAAGTCTTGGAGCACTTAGGTTTTGTCTATAGTAATAGGTCACAGTCAGGAAACATGCAAGTTTGATCTTCCCTGTGTTACTATAACTTTTGAAGTTGCTAAATATGAAAGAATTTTCAGAACTCTAATTATTTTAAGTTAATAGGACAAAGAATAGGGGCTATCATGCTATTTTTCCTTACTTTTACTATTTCCTATAGTCACGAGTATGTAAAATTTGTCCTAGTTTGATTTTTAAAAATCAGCTTATTTGCTATAGATGGTTTTATGGTGTATGAACTCTTCAAGGGGGCTTGGGGGGTGATTGGTTTGTTTTAAGCTTGTTTCCAGTTGAAGTACTCTCTCAAAATAATAAACCCAAGTAATGCATCTATCTCAGTTCCTGTAGAATTTGTTATTTTGAGGCAATAACTGTGGCCAAGTGGGACCTTCTGGTGCCAAAGCCCAAGTAAGATGCAAGTCTTTGATTAGTGCTTTGTAAGCAGCTTGTGGACATAAGTAACACATCAAACATAATGAGCAGCTTTGCAGTGAATGTTAATAACCAGTACTGAAACAGACCAAAAAAGTGGCATGAAAAACATGCTCTCGAGTCATTCATTGAGGTCTCTGTTAAATGGAGCAGCTTTATCCTTTTGATATTTCAGGTGTTTGTGTTTCAACATAGGATTTGATAGAGCGGATTCTTGCTGAAAGGGCAAAGCTTCAAGGCCAAGCTCATGGCTTGGTGATTCCTTCGTGGTGCTCCAGGGGAAGTACTGCTCAGCAGCCTGTGGAAGTGTTCTTTGAATAAGATTCCATCTGTGTAATCCCCAGCAAACGCAGTCTAACACTGGTCTCTACTTTGGCAATTCCAGTTTTGTTGCTTCAAGTAATTTTAAAAGGGCCAGGACATGTCAGTATTTTGCTCACTCTCTTTTCTTAAAGAATAATTGAGAATAGGAGGCATTCTGGCACCCTCTCTTGCCTGTGAATCCTGCTTCAGCTCCATGAGAGTTGTTCCAAGGCCAAGTCTGCCTTGCTGAGCTTCATCAGATGCTCCAACCCACCAGGGCTGCTGCCTCTCTGAAAATCACCATGAAATCCCCCTAACATGCACTGCGATTTCCGTGTCTGCAGTCACCAGGTACCTTCCCCTGTTCCACAGCAGGGTTTACTTTGTGCATGGGACCGCATTGTCAGTAATGGAGTTGACAAAAATCAGAATTCTGAAATGCACTATGGGCCAGATTGGGGAACTCTGTTTCTGCAAAAGGAGTCGTCTCACCTGGAAATCAGGCAGGTGCTGCTGCGGTGTCTGACGTGGTGACTGCTCCGGTGTGCGAGCCGTCCCCATCCGTCCCTGCGGAGCAGGACGTGGAGACGGATCTCGGGCCGAGTCCAGGGGACGTGTCCTCCCAGTGTTGCCTTGTGCTCCCCGATGAAACAGCCTCCCAGTGTCCAGCTCTCCTCGTCCGGCTGCAGTGAGGTTGGTGCCCAAGTGCAGCCCCAATCGGGCAGTTGAATTCCTG